GTGTTGTCCGAGCATCGTCTTATCAAGTGAGTGCATAGTCCCTTTCATATACACGATTTTAATACAAGTATTGATGAATGTATTAGATATATGATATGAGTAAGTGTGTGGTTGCTTTCTGATAATACACATATATGAATTGTACTCTATGAAATACGTGCTATGTGATTATATACTATTTATTATGTGGTATGAGTATTGAATGAATATGTTATGCAGGTTTTAAGCTGTATATAAACAAATATATTTTATCTACAAATATGTTGGGTAGAACATGGGTAGATAGTGATGTGTGATGAAATAAAAATGATGAGGGCCTCGATGTAATTGTGATCTAGTCGTCCAACAGAATATGGATGGCGACCACAGACTTTTCTAGACAGTTTAGTGGAACGCTGGCAGGCTCATAACCTGTAGGTGTAGTGAAATTGGGTGTTCATTTGATGTATTCTATCCCCCTCATGGTTGCCTTAGGACATTTATTGTTGAGGAAACCCCTTTGCAGTAGTTTCCGTCCCGATGAAAATCCTATATTAGGTCCCTTGTAATAGTTGTTGTGATAGGGACGTAAAGTGAGGATAATGGGAATGCATAATCGGGTTATTGTTGGTTGGTGAAATTAAATATAATTATTTGTTGTGGGTTGAAAACCCTATATGCTCATTAGATTCCCAAGTGTGACCTACTCAGTTTCTTTGTATTACAGGTAGTGGCGCGCGAGCATAAGTTGGAGAACTTGTGAATATGTTTTTGTTTATAGACCAGTAGTTGTATGTAACTATGTAAGGTCTATGTTTTATTGTTTATGCTTTTGTGTCTATATCGGAACATAACATCCCGAGCTTTGATAAATCTTATTTTATCATGTATTGTTTTGGGGACAAATTCCGCAACTCTTTTAAATCAATGGATTTACTTTGAAATTATTTTAAAAACATAAATGAAACCGGTTTTTTCTGCCCGTGAATTTTGAGATGTCACAAATGTACATTGCTTATTTGTGTTAAAAGTCTCTTAAAGAATATTTCTTTTTGGATGTACTTAAGACTATAATTTTGGTGTTACATTGTGTGTGATATATATGTAGTCTACAAATCTAATAATATCTATCTGTTGTTACCACCAGTCGATTAACATGATCATTTTAATCATGTGAACCACTTTAAATCTTTTTTTTTTCTTTTTTTTTGAATTTCTACTGTGTGTTTATCATATCTTTAACCATAAAATAAATTTTGATTAGTACTTGTTATACAAAATCATTTATATTATATAAGTCGTTTCTTTTATAATAATTTCGATCATCTCTAAATATTATTAAAAGAGAACCTTTAATTTAAACTGAAGAAATCAGAGCCATTGATTGCATTTCAATAATATATTTTTCACCATTGGATTATTTGCTGACATCATTTTTTTCAATCATTTTATTTTTGTCCACCAAATTTATAAAACGTATATTACATTTTAAATTAGGAAGTTTATTAATGACACTTAAACCTCATCAAAAGTAAAATTAATTAAATTATGGATTCTATTAATGATAGTTAAATCTCATCAAAAATAAAATGAATTAAATTAGGAATTCTATTAATAACAATTAAATCTCACCAAAAATAAAATGAAAAAAATATCCCACCGCACCCCTTATTACCAGTATCTTTACACTTTCTCCTCATTTCTTTACATAATCTATCTAACCTAAATTTTGTACTGGAGAAGGAAATATAAGAAAGAAGAAATAGAGTACTTGTGGGCTTCGATCTGTATGGATTAATCTTGTGTTCGATCATCATGGAAGAATTATGAATGATATAGAGATAAATTTTATTTGAATTCTACTTTAATTTGATCATAGTTTAGATCGATTTTGGTTAAGTTTTAGATTATGTTTATTTTATTCTGTTTCAACTATGAAGTTACATGTCATTTTGTTTTAAGCCTTTTATTTTAAATACTAACAATGTCTCTTCCGATGCGATCATCTATATAAATATGAGTAGATGGGTGTGTGTTTTAAGGTTATCGTTATTATGTGTTTTGGATATGTGTCATTCCCCAAATGTTTGAGGGTTCAAGTCACATAGTGGACAAAATGTATAAATTTCAGAATATGATTAGATGTGTGTGTGTATGTGTTAGCTGCTAAAAAAAATACTCATAATGACTAAAATACTCATTGGCATTATGGTAAGTGTTGTGCTGTTATTTCTATAGATGATCACATTGGAAGAGAGCAAAACATCATTACCAAAGACTTCATGTTTCTCCATAAGTTATTCTTGCTTATTTTATGATTTTTTAAAAAGTTTTTTGCTTGGCTTCTCAATATCACTAAATAATAAATAATGCAAAATAAGCATATTGAGAATTTGATATACTCATATAATTGGAGTATCATTATCATTGGCTATGTATAGTGTCATATTCGAAAAACCAAAGATATGAGAGTATTATATCCCAAAAAAATTTACATTCATGTTTGTATATCATAAAATTAACATAGTAATAAATTAGCAATAATAGTTAGCGGGTAGCTCTGTAGAAATCCCCTAATCTAATAAATAGGAGCATTTCTGCCACATGACAATCTCTTCCCCCCCCCCCCCCCCCCTCGATTGATTTTTCCCGCTCATATCATCTAACAGAATTCCCTATATTGCCCTTCCACTATCTATTCTCAGCAAATACGTTAGTCAAATCACGTCTCCCCTAATCACGCCTCCATCGGCTCCAAATTCGTCTGCTTCATTTTGGAAACCAGATGCCTATTCCAATCTCTATACTAATAAAAGAGTACCTCTTTTGCCATGTGTCACCATATTAGACATTTTAATTAATGTGTTGACACTTGTCAATCTATTAGTTTTCCATTTTAAATTTATTAGACTTTCTCATTAATGTGATTCTATTTTAAATTTTAAATTTTAAATTATTGTTTTCATTAATTCACAAATAAAAAATATCTAATATATATTAAAAATTAATTTTATATATTTATTTGAATTAATGATTATAATTTCACATAACTAATAAAAAATATCTGTTAAATTAATAATTTATTTAAAATAACTAATAAATAATTTTTAGTTTTTACTATAAAAGTTTGATTAATTTTATAACCGTGGTTCTCATGGGTTATAAACTAGTTAGTTATTAGAGCATCTCCATCCCACTTTTATTCTCCATTTTTTCCCCCATTTTCTCCCTCATTCTTCTCCAACTTTCCCCCATTTATTCCCCCGTTTTGGGGGATATGAATAGTATTACACCAAATATGGTGGTATACTATTCATTTCTCCCAAAATGGGGATGAACTTTGCGTTGTCGGTTTTAGTCTCTTTGTTTATATATTTATACATTTCTAGTTCGTTTTTACCTACTAATTATAATTTAAATATAATATTTAATAATTATAATATTTTGTTATATATTAAATTAAATTAATAAATTATAAATATAAAATTTGTTTTTTTCATCAAATTCATATAAAAAAATTAAATACATATTGAAATTTTAAAAAATAATGATGTATTTTACAAAAACTTATAATTAAAATATATATTACAAATACGATAGAGGTTGAATTGACGACAGACAAAGACAGTCAATTCCAATAATTTCTTGCTCGATATAAACGTATTAAAGATAAAGAAGCACAGTTCAGTCTACGAAATGCGTTAGTTGATCATTTGTGGGAAATTTATTCCAACGCATAAATATGTTATCTATGCATGTATAATATTTATTTAAAAATGTGTATGTCTAATATTTATATAAATGTATGTATAATATTTATTTAAAAGTGTGTATGTGTAATACTTTTATAAATTCGTGTATAATATTTATTTATAAGTGTATTATAAATATAATATTGTTTATTTAATATTAATGTAATGAAAAAAATATAAATTATATATTTGGTAAAAATTAAATTAATAGAGGGGTGTGTTTGTAAATATATATAAGTTGGAATAATAGAATATACTCGGAATATACTTTTTGGGGTAAAAAATGAAAGGAAAATAGAGTAGGGTTGAAGATAAAATATTATTTACTCTATTTTTTATTTGTTTTTTAGAAAAAAATAAAAATGGATCGGAGATGATCATATATCAGCTTCGGTCTATTTTAGCGACCATATATTCCCTAAAAAATGTTGTACATCTAAAAATCAATTTATTTGTTTAAAGTGGAAATAGAAGGAAAGAATAAAGGAAAGGATGATGTTGCCAAAAGGAGTATTAGTTTTTACACGAAGACCTGGTTGTTTCGCTAAAATAGGAAGAAAAAGAAAAAAAGGAAAAACCGCAGCTTTCTATTTGTGTCTGCGCGATGGTCAGACTCAGCCTCAGCAGCAGCCTCTGATTTCCACCGTTGAGATTCATCTCTAATTTGATTCCATTTCATTTTTCATTCATTGCCTCAAAGCCATTCAAACCACCTCCACAATCTGATCCTTGTTTATCCAATATTCAGTTTTTCGATTCTTCTGTGTGTGTAAGTGTAGGTACTAGGTAGGTCTTTGCATATTGAATATGTATGGTGTTAATGGTACTTCTTCGGATGCGATTTCCAGAGATATGAATTCTTTGTTGCATTCGTCTACCTTCAAGCATCCGGCCGACGGCGAGTTTGCTAAGATCAAACAGTTGATTTCATTGGATCCTTATCCAGATTACGATCAACAAACTCAAAGTCAAAATCAACAAGATGAGAATCAGAGCTCCTTATTGCGTTATCGCTCTTCTCCGAGCTCCTTCTTTTCGAATCTACTCAACGAGAACGGAGACGAGGAGTTTGCGGATCCTGTCAACGCCGCCTCGAATCACGAGCCGGAGGAAAGGTTCTTCAAGCAACAAAAGAAATCTGAATATGATTCACGTGAGTTCCTTGACTTTCTAGACTATGCGTCGCCCTCGTCAACACCTATGAAGCAGGAAAGGAGAGAAACGTCGATTCAGAACCAGGATCTTCCACATCCGTCATCAACGGCTGTGATGCACGGTAGCACTTCACGGCGACTGCCGGATTCCGGTAGTTATGACTACACAAATCAAAGAAATTTGGATTGTGCATCGACTTTCAGAGCTACGGATTCAACTAGTCCAAATCTCATCAGGCAGAATAGCACTCCAGCTGGATTTTTGTCCTCCTTGAATGTTGAAAATGGTAAACAATTGTTAATTTCATTCTTTATTTCAACTTGCAGTTGATTTATTATCTTAAAAAGTTCATATCAGTTTTAGCAATTGACATTTATTGGTAGTTGACTTTTTACTAATGGTTGATAGACCCCAAATTTGTCATGATGTATGTATGATGATCTAACGAAGACTTCATCTTATTTCTTGTTTAGAGCATTGATTTGTTGTAAGATCAACTAATATCCAGAGTAAGAAGGTTAAGACTCTAATGCTTTCGATCTTGAAACTCAGGTTTTGCCGGCGTGAAAGATGTGAGAAAAGGCAGTTCATCAAGTGCTTCCAATAACCACATCAGTTTCTCATTAGGTCCATCTTCTTCATCAAGATTCTTGCCCCAAATAGCTGAAAACGAGAATGAATTGCATGATTCCACATTCAATGGCTTGAAGAGGAGCAGAGATGGTGGTTTGAAGATATCACATTCACAGGTACATCTTGATTCTAATACGTTTATTCTTATTATTATTTTCTTTCTTATTTTTTGGAATTTTCATCACTCTGCTAACGCTTTAATTTATTTATAGAATGGAGAGTCTGGAAACCATACTCCTAGTTTGCTTCACCATATGAGCTTACCAAAAACTTCCTCTGAGATGGCAGCTGCTGCTGAAAACTTCGTGCATTTCCAACAAGAATCATCGGTTCCATGGAAAACACGAGCAAAAAGAGGATTTGCTACACACCCAAGAAGCATTGCAGAAAGGGTATGAAGATCTTTGTACTCTTGATGTTATCTTATTTTTTTATAATCTAACATCTATATTGATTTATCATGATTTGGGGATCAAATTTCAGATGAGAAGAACCCGAATAAGCGAAAGAATCAAAAGGTTACAAGAGCTTTTCCCTGATATGGACAAGGTAAAAAAAATGAACCTAAAATGTAAATTGACTAAATTCATATTTTAAAAGTGAAATATCTTTTGTTTTAAACTGTTTTGCAGCAAACTAATACAGCAGATATGTTAGATATGGCTGTTGAGTACATTAAAGACCTTCAAAAAGAACTACAGGTATACTTTATACCAAGTTCACAGTTTGTTAGACCTCTCCAACTCATTACACCATTTTTTGCACCAAATTGACAAAAACACCAATTCTTCTCCAACTCATTACACCATTTGTACAAATTAAACTATAACACCTTATTTGATGTTAATGAATACATCAACATATAGTTGGTGTTGTATCATTCATGAACACCACATTTGGCGTTTGACTTTGACATTATGACACTGAGTCAATTACACAAAATTTGCAATTGTTGTCCCACCCAAAAGGTGAGACAAACACTCACTATTGAGTGAAAAAACGTGAATGTTCTCCTCATTAATGTTTTTACATTTTTCTTGTTCTCATGATTTTTCTTGTTTTGGGATTTGTAGATTTTGAACGATGCTCGAGCAAGGTGCAAGTGTTCAAGTAAACAATTACAGTCAGGTTCGACCATGTAACTTGCTTTCGTGTATCAATGGGTACCCATGAAAAGTCCTCACGTACCTGTATGATCGATCACTAATTATGTTGTACATGATTTAGTTTATGTGAATTAGGTAAAGACAGACAGTGTGATTTAAATTTGAGGAATATTAGATCCAATATTTGGATGACCCTAAATGGATCAACATCTTTGTGAGAAAGTTGCTTTGATCAAAATTGTGGTCTTACTTTTGTTTTGTTGTTTTCTTTCTTCAGTTCTCTTATTAGTTATTTATCTTATTTTGTAAATTATATGAAAAAGTGTTAAAAAAGAACCATGATATTGGTGGGTACAATAGTTGTTGGGAAAATTGCCTTAAGGATCCCTAATTGTAACGACCCAAATTATTTCATCTAAATATTCTGGGATTTATGGGAGTTTTCAATAAAAATGCGGAATTCTAAACTCAAAAACATTTACATCACATGCTATAATCGGGTTTACAATAATTCATAATCATAGTTTAACGCTGTAAGGAATTATCAAAATAAAATCTACTTCTAGTCTAAGTTTTTGGTGCTCTTATCTCCTTATGTACAACTACGACTACCTTAACCTCTCGTTTACTGTATTCTTCACATACTCTTCTCATCTCATACTTTCTCCCACTTTATCCTTACATCTTCTCATGCTCTTACTTTGTCTTCATCTCATCTCATGTTTTTCTCTTACTCTATCTACACATCTTCTCGTCTCGCCTCATGCTCTTCTCATACTCTATCTTCACCTCTACTCATACTCTTCTCATATTTTATCTTCACCTCTACTCATACTCTTCTCTTTCACCTCATGCTCTTTTCTCATCACTTCTTATACTCTTACTCTATATCATCTCATGCCTTCTCATCTTATCACATTTCATCTCTCTACTCTCATCTCCTCTTGCTTTAACATTTTACTCTTATTTAGACTCAAACGGTCTAATCACATATGACAACTTCACCAATCATATAGGAGGACAATATACTTATGCATTGCCGATGTAAAATCATTCGGACTTAGTCCCCTTACTTTGATCCATCACAGATCCTTTGTCAACTCTTCTTTTCTCGAATCCCTCTTGGATTACGATGACCCCTTACAGATCTTATGTTGGGTTTTGAGCATTTAAACACTCCTAAGTGTACATGCAACCCTAAATACTTTGTATCTATGTTTTCTCTATTATACATGCAAATATGAATATCCAATGTATTATCCTAACTAGCATACCAAAACATTGATACATAGTAATATAACAAGTTGGAATACATACCTCTTTGTTGTAACTTGTCTTCATGAAGCTTGAGTGCCTAGTGCCCCAAGTGTGACACCTCAAATGGTTCACACAACATCAAATACACATGGAATGACTTGAAAGAAATGGATCACTTCATGAAAATCGGCTAGCCCTTACACTCACACATAGTAACCGATTTTTCCCAAGAATAAGATCTTTATGTAGTGTCACAATTAGGGTAAACCCTAATTGACGTGACTTTTCATTTCCTTGGATCCATGAGTTCAAATACACCATGGAGCATCTATGGAGTATCCTATGGGTTTTAGCCTAACTTGATAATCCATGGAGTCTTAGCCCACTATAAAAGTATGGATGATTTACACAATCAACCCATATATTTAATTAGTCTTTTTTTGATCACTTAATTAATTCTTGATCAATACTAATTAAATAACCTTATTAATATATTAGAACTTATAATATATTACCAAACCTTAAGTGTTATTTCTCTCATTTTAGTCAATCCAAATGCATGATGCCATGCAACCCAAATGGACCATGCCGGGTCGGGTCAAGTCTTACCAATTATAGTTATGGACTTAGACATTAATCCAACATCTTCTACACCTAATCTGTCACGATTTATATCAAGGTTCTCTAAAGAAATCTCTTACCTTGTTCTACTCATGGAAACCTTTCTCAATCGTCTCTAACCACACATAATCTTATTTCCGCAGGAATCTTCAATCTACATTCCCGAAGGTATCATAATCTCATTCTCGAAGGAATCATAATCGCATTCTCATAGGAATCATACTCTTATTCCCATAGGAATCATAATCTTATTCCTAAAGGAATCATAATCCCATTCTCGAAGAAATCATAATATATTGACGATAACGAAAATATATCAAAGATATCTTGATGATTTATTTATTAGTTAGGATTCCTTGTAATTTTGGTATTTATCCTATATCCTTATATTATATTATTTTTACTATATATATATATATATATATATATATATGTATATATATGTATGTATGTATGTATGTATATGTATATAATGAATAACACTCCACATATTTGTGTGGTGAATTTTATCAGATCATATATGGTATCAGCCTAACATATCGATCATCTCTCGATTCTATCTTGACATCACCAATATTCTTCTTTCTCTATGGCTGTCGGTGATGAAACTCCCTTGTCTACTCTTCTTCATATGCTCACTAGTAAGCTATCATCTCCAAATTATCCTATAATGACCCAAAAATACAGATAAAATTTTGTTTTTAATTTCATTCAAATCACACGACATTAATATCAAAATAGTGAAAAGAGTATCATAGTAACATGCCATCAGAGTACAAATTCCCAAAACGTTAAGTGCGGAAAACATAGGGTGATGCGGTGCGATCAGGTTGGGCCCTTCCCCTTCGAATTCGAAGTATCTGAAATATAAACTGAAAATTTTAAGCACAAAGTTTAATGAGTTCCCCTAAAATACCACATACTAAAAAAACATACTGCCAAACATATCTGGGTGATTGCCTACCCCATGGGTCTATTTCAACTGGATACTATCAAGCATATATGAGTGCTTGCAATCCCCTCCGGTTTATTTCAACCGGATATTGGGTCTATTTCACCCCTAATACTACCACCTAATATCATAATAGAAATCATAGAGTCATCAAGCAAATACAGGCATAAGTGACAATTGTGACAAAGACAATCATCGCACTACATCATAAACTAGTGGGCCAACATTGATGCCTTCGACTTACGGATACTACAAAGGAAGACTCACCTCAGATTGTGGATATCAAATCTCACTTAGCAGATGACTCGCGGAATCCTCTCCCTATCATACAAGCATAAAACCCTAATTGGAAATTAGGTCACACTCTATCTCGAAAGCCCAAAACCCTAATTCTTGACCTAAGGAAAAAAGAGTTCATTTACCCTTCCCTTACTAGGCCTCCCTCCACCTAAGGCCTAAATCCATAAAAACTCCAAATAGGCATCCAAGCCTAACTACAAAGCCTTTAAGGTCCAATATGGCCCAAGAACACCTAACATGGCCTTAGGTCTAAAAATGCCCAGTTACAACAGGTGGGCCTGAGGCCCAACCTAAACAAGTCCAAAATCCCAACAATAAATGAGCCCAAAAATCATCTAAGCCCACAGATTACGTATGCGTGGCATACACAGATCGTACGCCCAACGTATGTTGATGACCATCCGGAGTCAGGGCACTAACCCAGTACGTGCAGCGTACTCTAGAGTACACCCAACGTACTATCCAGTTGGGCCATTCTCAATCCTAAGTCTTAATCCATTCAGCCTTTATGTCCAAAACTTATATCCAAGCTCAAAATAATGCCTTAAGTCATAAAGTTGCAAACTTTATGGGTTTAAACCATGAATTAAGTCCATTAACTCATGGTTGAGTCTTAACTTCCAAGATACAATTTTTATGACTCCAAGCACTTCCAGAAGTCCAAAAGGATAGCTCAAATGGCCTGGATTTGCTCATACTCCAAGAAACCAAGCTATGAGACCAAAAGATGCCATAATCTACCCTAAACTTAGATCTAAGATTGTAATGATCAAGGTTCAAACTTTATAGCTTTAATGGGCTAGAAATAGAGCACAAGTTCTAGATCTACAAGCTCCTTCTGCTTCTTTGCTTCTTCCCAACATTCTTTCTTCTTCCAAACCACCAAAGAATACCCAAACACACAAGGTAAACTAAAAAATGCACTGAAGAAGAATAAGGTTCGAGATTTGCACTAAAAGGGCAATGGAGGCTGAAAGGGTAATGATCTTGAGGGACTTAAGGACTTTAAATAGGGTGCAAGCCCTAAAAATTAGGGCTTGTTCTTGGCTTGAATATGCCCAGCGTACGTATAGGTACACTCAGCATAAGTCAGAGATCCCCTGATGATGCGCATGAAAGGAGTACGCCGTTCGTAACTAGTATACGCCCAACGTACTCACAATCCTCCATCACATTTTTATTGAATTGCACATAGATTAAATCACAAACTTTATACATGGCTACTCGGGTGCTACATATCTTCTATGGAGGAAACAAATCCTTCTTCTCTTGACTTAATAGAAACTTCTTGGTTACATTGATGACACTCTTCCAGCACCACCTCCCACCATTACAGTCGAGAATGTTGTTGTCCCTAATCTGGTGCTTGCTACCTGGCAAGAAGGTGATCAATGAGCCATAATTCTTATGCAGTTTTCTCTATCTGAAGAATCCATGGTTGTCACACCCCCAAACCAAGGATGGCGGAAACGTCCGGGGGTGGAGGACTTCATGTAAAGTATCATAACAACGAGTATAATAGTGCTCAAAGTACACACAACCAACATAAATATAATTGAAAAAGTTACATCATAGTATAAGTTTACATGTTTCTAAATCAATTACATTATGTTGACAAAAATACAATGTTTAACGCCTTAGCGTTCCATCCTCAAAAGCGGCCGATTACCTGTTTTACTGATTCCCTGAGAATACAAGTAGTTTTGAAAAAGTGTCAACAATTAAGTTGGTGAGTTCATAAGCTTTTTGAATGAAATGTTGAAAACCTTCCTTGGAAAAGTAATCTTTGCTCCAGAAAATCCGATATTTTCCCTTTTAAAATGTATTGTAGTCTTAAATGCCAAGACTAATAGTGTACTAGTATTTTTCCATATAAAATTGTAAATCGTGCAAGTTTAAATCGACATAAACTTGTTACTTTAAATGGAAATCCCGTAAATCTTATGTTTGTTAATACCCCATGTGAGTTATTATAACCATACTATGACTTAGTTGGCTTTGTATACGACGTTCTTCAGGTATCGGAATGTTAATGACATTTGTCACCCCAGACCTGCCGATCTAGCTGTTGCATGCAGCTAAGGTGTG